GTTATGGGGTTTTGGTAACACAATATAGAAATGTTTGATTAGTTGGTGAACATTTAGTTTCCAGGCACCTTGGGAGGTACACGCTTCTAAGCATCGCTGTGCCAGCTGAAGTATAGGAGACGAGATGGCATTCGCAGGAGAACAGTCATTAAAACAAAGTACTTTGAACGTTTCTATATTTTTAACTGTTTACGTTGATCTCAACTCCCAAATGCTGGTTGGGGGAACCGCATCAATTGTATCTTTATCGGGTCATTATAGAAAGGGAATAGAAATGAGCCCCTAACGGTGCAGGTATTCAGAGCAGGTACTAGTTCACTATTAAGTGCCACTCAGAAAGCGCCAGCTGTTCTGGGGGAGCAGGGTGGGGGGTAAAAAGACCGAGTCCATCTCCTGTCATTCAGATCTGAGGCACATTCTCCGAGACGCGGGCTCCGCCGCCTTTATTATTTACTCGTGTCGTTCTAAGCAGCATATGTGCAAGTTTATCTGAAGTAGAACAATTCATTCGGGAAAACCATCCGCCTGTTTTCAGAGACACGTGTTGGCACCGCAGCTGTTCGATGTATTTCTGTAAAAGGATTTAAACAGAAAACGCCTCCAGAATGTCAATCAGTTTTAATGCAGCGAAGCTGAGGCGCTCTCTGCTTTCTGAAGTGTTTGTACATTTCGGAGATATTCAAGATTTTTGGGGAGTTCCTGATGCTGCAGCACTTTAGCGTTAATGTGGAGCCTCCTGTCGGGATGGGGGAGAGGGTGGGTTACCATCAGCTGGGAAAAGGGCCCCGTCTGCTTCCAATGAACTTCGAAACTGTTGAGTCTCATTTTTGGTATCATTGTCCAAATATCCCCTGGATCATGGTAGGATCTATTTTGAATGTGAAGGCTACTGAATTATCAACAACTAAGGCTTGTTTTCATCAATATCCATGAGTGCTGTTCCGCGTCTTTCCCAACACCAATTTCTTTTTGCGTTTTTTTCTGTTGTAACTACTAACCGCCACCAGTAATCAGCCGTGTAACCAATTCAATATCTACAAGCAATGCCCATTATGAGAAATGCGAACTATCAAAAGTGAGGGGGGGAGGGGTTAGGGAGAGCAGAAGGGGTTAAGTCAAAATGGAGTTGGAGGGAGATAAAGCCCTCTACCTCCAGTGGTGCCCACCTCTCTCTAAAAACACCATTGATGGACACCCGGGCACGAACATAACCACAGAAGACTACAACAACCAAGTTCTGCCTGTTAATGAATACATTCACCTGATGGATATTTGGAAAAAGAAACTATGTGCAGTTTTAGGGACGGTACAGGGGAAACCGGCTAATTGGAAAAGCTAGTACCAATGGCCGCCATGGACTAGACGGACTAAATGGTCTTTTCCAAAACATTTCATTTAATCATGTGTGTGCGCGAGTGAGTGCGAGTGACTGAGTGTGAGTAAGCGAGTGCGTGCGTGTGAATGAGCGAGTGTGACTGAGTGAGTATGAGAGGCTGAGTGTAAGTAAGCGAGTGTGTGTGATCGAGTGAGTGAGTGTAACTGCGAGCGAGTGAGAGGCTGAGTATGAGTAAGCGAGTGTGAGAGTGCGAATGAGTGAGTGTGAGTGACTGAGTGTGTGACTGTGGGTGAGTGTGACAGGCTGAGTGTGAATGTGCGAGTGTGCGAAATAGTTGTGTGAATTCCAGAGTGTAAATGAGCCGTTTGTCTCGACCATTCTATTTTTAGCATGAATTACAGTGACTTTGGGGTCAGCTGACCTGCTGTGACCAGCTAATCGGGATATTTTTCAACAATAATGAAGCGTCATGTTATTTTGTCAAACAACTTTGCCGAAGACCTCGAGAAATCTTGGGAAAGCAGGTTGGGTGGTTTGTAGTGGAAAGGGGAACCAGAGAGCGTAGAGACAGTGAAAAGAGAAATTTGGAGTGGGGGGAGGGGCGGGGTGGGAACAGAAACAAGGGAATGATATGGTCTTAACACAAATAAGGCTAATTACTATAAAACAAAGAACTGCGGGTGCTGGAAATCTGAAACAAGAGATTGCTGGAGGAACTCAGCAGGTCTGGCAGCATCTGTGGAGAGAGAAACAGTTAACTCATGGGCCCGGTGACCTTTCCTCAGAGTTCTGAGTTTCTGCAGCAATTTCAGTTTTTGTCGCAGGACAGATTGAAAAGTGCTTCTCAAATCTGCTCGGCGCGAAAAATCTTCAACAGCCGATGGAAATGGGAATAGGCTGGAAGCCAAGGCCCCGGCCTGAGAGGATTTAACGTTTATTTATGAATGCAGAGCTCCCACCTGCAGTGACATTGTCCGACATTTGACACTGTAAATGTGATAGCTCAGCTTTTCCAAGGGAATGGGAAGAAATGTCATAGGCAGAGAGGAAACAAAACTACAGGGTTGGAGTTCTGCATCAGAAAGTGCTGAAGATAGTCAGCTTCAGTGAAGAAAATACATATTTTCAGGAGGCTGTCTGGAAACCGACGGGAGAAGAGGTTACAATTTAATTTAATCAAAGCTGCGTCTCTCTTGGCTTCGGATAGAGATTTCCCCTTGAACTGAAGGAAATGTTAAGCACTTGGAGAATTTGTAATTGCGATTTTTTCTTATAACTCCCAGGAGCCTGTACATATACCGACTGGATGAAGAAACTCTGTTGGTCTCTCCACAGACGCTGCTGAGTTTCTCCAGTAATTTGCTGTTTTTGAGTTTGACTCATCAGCTCACTCTGTTGCAGACACACACCAAGTGTCCAACACCCACAGTTTACTCACACAGTCACTGGCACACAGTGCGGGCCCAGTACTTACAGAGCACAATCTCACGTCCATAATCGGATACCGATTCGTAATCCCACATGCAGACAATCACAGGCCTCACGCCTCGAACCCAACCCCTTCCCATCTCTTCTTCAGAAAGTTTCTGAAGAAGGGTCCAGACCCGAAACGTCAGCTTTCCTGCTCCTCTGATGCTGCTTGGCCTGCTGTGTTCATCCAGCTCTGCACCTTGTCATCTCAGATTCTCCAGCATCGGCAGTTCCTACTATCCCTTCCCAATCTCGCCTTCCTTCACTTGACCCAAGGACACAACCCGGTGCTTCAACATAAGGAAATGGAAGTACGTGAACTACCCTAAGTCCCAAAGCTATTTTTCTTAAATTAAATGCATTTCCCTCTACCCTCTTCCCAAAAGAAAATTAATAGTCACAGCCTTTGGGAGGTTAATGGAAGCAGCAACAAATCCATTCCAAAATTGAACCGAATTCCCAGCAGCTTTGTCCGAACATGAATGTGGTGTTCCATCTCGGTGTTCTACTGATTGTCCATTGCAGTGTCCCCAGCTGCGGCCAGGAGCTACAGCTCACCCCGTCCCTGATTAGACTCTCCTCCGTTTCTGGATCTGAAAACAGCTGCAAATACATGGTGAAAGAGTATCTCACACACACAAAATAAACACATCGTAGCGCCCCCGCTGAAACTTACTCGTCTCCCGCACCAGGTGTAATGGGTGGACCCGGTTCCCTGCGAGACACTGGGGATCATTTTTTTTTTGGCCTTTTGTTGGATCCACCATGAACACACGGGCTGCAGGTTGGGCCCAGTGTTTCTCCTCTCTTCAAGCTGCCCTGCAGAAGGGGGTGGGGGTCGGTACTCCCGCTGTTAACTTCCCGCTTTAAGCCTTTCTATTGATTCCCACGTGCTTTGTATGTCTCCCTTATTGTTCGCCGTATTCCAGGAAATTGCAGCTGTCAATCATTTCCCTAAATGCATTATTTTCGAAATTAAAACAAAAACCCAGTGCCCCCTTTTAGGAAATTTAGCATCCGTGACTCCTGCTTCGACCAAGCGTGACCCATCCTGGATTAAAAAGCCCAACAGTGAGTTTTTTTAAAAGCAAAAATCAGGTGTCAGTTACCTTCTACTTTGTGACATGAAATGGCTAATAAAGTTAAAACTTGATAGTTTGCAAGTTGTATATGCGTGTGTGTGGTTTCTGTGGAGTCTTGTTCCAACTCATTGAGCTATATGAGGGATATGTGTCTGAGCCGTGAAACTGCAAACAATTCTCACGTTTGGAAAGTGTTTTGAAAGAAATGCAGGCTCCATCCAATCCTTCACTGAAATGTTGCTTCTTGTACCTAACCACCACAGCTCTGAATTCAGAAAATACCAAGAAATCTGAGTGATCGCGCTGTGATTAATCGCAAAACAAGGTTCTTTTTTAATGTTTGCCTTTAGCGAGCCAGCTTGTTTGTATTTGCAACCCACCTCCCCCCCACCCCCCATTCTGTTAATGAAGAACAAAAGCCAGGCTTTTGTATGCACGTCCCTGCCCCTTTAATGGTGGATTGAGTTCGCTCAGGGTCAGGGGTCAGACAGAGGTCAGCTGGGTCATTGTATTGTGATCGTGAGTCAATAGGCAACTGCATAGCCACTAAATCCACATCATTACCTAAGTAGTCCAGGAATGCTCGGAGACCATTCATTGCAAAGTGGCCGAATTCTTAAAAAAAATCAATACTTTGAATAAAACTAGGCTCGTTTTTTTGTGTGTGTGGGTATGCCCGTGTGTCTGTGCAACTTCGGGTGCGTGTATGTGTCACTTTTCGTCTGTGTCACTTTGACTCCGTGAGTGTGTCTGTATGTGTGGGGATATGTTTCCCTGAGTGGTTGGCTGTGTTTGCCCGTGTATGTGTTTGTGTCTTTGGATGGGTGCGTCCCTGTGTATGTGTGTGTGTGTGTATGCCTGGGTATGTCACTGTCTGTGCGTGTGTATCTATGTGTGTGCGTGTCTATGTGTATGTCTGTGCCTCTGTGTGTCTGTGTCCCTGGCTGTATATGTGTGTGTTTGGAGAGAAGGTGTCTACCTGTGTGTATGCCTGTATGTGTGTCTGTATCTCTGTGTAGCTGTCCCTGCCTGTGTGTCTGCATGTATGTGTGGTGCTTCAATCTTCAGGGTTTTATAAAGATTGGTTAAAAATGTGAAACATAACACGCGTACATTTTCATAAGATTCTATTACAAACTCTCGTCATGTAAAAGTCAATGAGTTCCATCAGCACTGGTTTTGCACGATCCGGAATGAAATCACGGAAACTGAGGATGATTTGGCCCATCAACTGCAACTATGTCGCGTAAGCCCTTCATCTCTGCAGTTTGTCCCCATCCTTCCATCCAACTGCCTCTCAGATTCCCTCTTCGGCGGCCTATTATTGAGTGTTGTGCCGGAGAAGGGGCAGAACAGCAAGTCTTGGGCCTCATTTAAGGCGAGTGGTTACCGTGTTTCGGAAAGTTGACGCTGGAGCATTAAATCTGTTAGAATCCAAAGACAGATGCGCGTTCAGGAGCCGAGTTTCTTCAGTAGACTGTGAAACATTGAGAATTGATACTGTTCCAGTCACTACCGCCTGCTGCTTGAATCTCCGAGCGCTGCAAAACGGGTCCTTAGAAACGAAATTCCTGCGTTAAAAAATAATTATCCAGTTTGAATTCAAAGAGATAAAAAATATACAAAGCCGGAAATAGTGCTAAAACTGAATAGAATAGAATAAAATAGAATAGAATAGAATATAGAATATCCTTCGTTGAATAATCAGGTCATGTTGAATTCTAATAAGCGACTGCGAACAACCGAGGCTTCTGACAACCTCCACCGGCAAACAAAACAAGATTACAAAAAGAAATCTCTGCACTTTGGACTCAGTGTTACCATAATGAGTTATCCACGTCCTTATTTATCCATAGAATGATCTACTTGCACCCTCTATAAGTACTTGCTTATTTTAAGAATTCATTAATTCTAAACATTGACAACTAACATTACCAAGTAGCGGAGAATTTGACATTCAGTACTAAAGGCGTATGCAAAACACCAGGTTTTCATAACGAATGTATAATAAAAATTCAGATGATTCGGTGGAGATTTAACTCCTAACAGGACACGTCTTCTATCAAAGTAATATTTCTAAAGTTAGTCTGGGATTAGGATGTATTAGAAATCTCCTCAAAAATGTGACCTTTGCTTCTTTGGAAAGAGGGACTTCATCCACTTCTTACAAAGTAACGAAAATATTCAATAAAAACCGAAAGCTCTGCGGATGCTGTAAATCAGGAACAAAAACAGAAGTTGCTGGAAAAGCTCAGCAGGTCTGGCAGCATCTGTGAAGAAAAAAAATCAGAGTTAACGTTTCGGGTCCGGTGACCCTTCCTCAGAACTAAAGAAAATATTCACTTTGCTTTTATGATCTATCAAAACATCCAACCTATCAACACCAATTGTGCGCAAGTTAGACACTGGTAATCGATACTTATTCTTCCGCTATATTTCACATAATCTAGTCAGATACACAACCAATCGGTTATCTTGTTCTAAACCGCAGATAGTTAATCATTATAAAAGTTTCAGTAATCTCACGCCAAGGGAAGTAGAGAAAACTGAACTAGCTCGTACACAGAATAGTTCCTTCTCTAACGTAATACGTCTGGTCGAGTGTGTAACGTGACTGAGGGGTTTCTATTCCTCGTTACTATTCGAAGGGTTTCAAATGTAAATGGCACACAGCATATCGAAAGGACAACATTCGAAAATGATGACCGTTGCTGCAGTAATAAATATGAACAAATACAATCGCTGCCAAATATTAATAGTGAAATACTTTCAGCAGCCCAAATTTTAATTGATAGTCAAAAGAAAAATAAAATTAATTTGGGATAAGTGAGCCCCGCGATATATCGTGAGTCATTGTTTCCAGTACAGAGACTGACAAGAGATCGCTGATCATTCACGCTACGGCGATCAATACTGGGCAGGAGCAAATTTAGGTCTTAAGTACATTTCGACATTTGTTGCATTGCTGATCATTGCTGCAACTCGGCCTTTATCAATGAAAGGTCTTCATGTCTTTTTGTGCAGCTCGGAATTTTGTATAAAGCAGATAGCATGTGTATTTAACAACTCGCATGTACATAGCCTTTTCATAGTGAAAGCGTATTTATACAGGACCCTGTAACGTCATAAAACGTCCTAAGGTGTTTGGCACGAGTGCTGTTAGACAAACAAAACTTTACACTGTGCTTCGGTACATGTAACAATAATAAACCAAAATCAAATCAAATCAACTCCTGATACATAAAGAGATGTTGGACGTGCGACCAAAGGCTTGGTCCAACTTTCAACGGCCGTTCTAAAAGAAGGTGTGGAGGCAGAAAGGGATTTCCAGATTTTAGAGCTTAGGCAGCTGAAAGCTGAAAACATGCTATGCCGCTGATCTTTTAGCTCCCACGCTGAGGCTACTTTCAGATAATCTGACTCCCTCACTACAATTGTGTTTTCTTTTAAGCTCTCATTATTGTGACTAGAGATATAAATACACCTAAAACATTATCTTCCACACTCAAATTAAGGCGATGTCCATTCGCCACACTGAAAATCCCGCTCTATAAAAGCAGAAGTTGCACTCTATGTTAGTCATCGGGAGGTCATGATAAAACTGGTCGTTTTAAACAATATGCGGCGCATTCAGAGCAGACGATCACAGATTTCTCTTTCTGTCCCTCCAACCAAGGCTCTTTCCTGCGTATTCACATGCAGAGTTTAAGGTTATTTGAAAAATCGTGAGTTACTGAATTTGGGAAAGTGCGACTGATTTGTTTGATTGCAACGTAAGCAATTCTAATAGTGCACACAGACACATTAGTTGCAAGCTGTGTGCGGTGGAGACCAAGGGAGACCAAGATGGCTTTATAGCAATATGGCGACTATTTCACAAATATAAGCAAGTTCATTTGAAGCCAGTTCAGAGCTCGAGACTCCCGCCATTGTCCTTCTCCAAAAGAAAACCTTCTACCATGTTATTGCTGAAACTACCTTCCTAGAAACGGCAAGGTCTGAAAACCAAAACAATTATGTTACCTTTATTTTAAGAGAGCAGGTGAGTTAATACTGGGGAGTTTTGGGGGATGATCTGCAGAGCGTTGGCCTTAAAATTGACGTAAAATGGAAAGGAAATAGAATGAGATATCCTTTTAAAGTTTTGTCAGTGCGTGTGTGTGGATACTATGAAGGGGAAGCTGTGAAACAGCTCGAAAGAGCAAGGAGGAATACAAACAGCAAGTAATAGAAGGTTATATTTTTTGCAGTTCTCCGCGAACAAACAAAACCTCATTACCAATTAAATGAAAGACATTAAATTGATAGTGGGAAAATCAGAAACATGTGAACCCAAAGCCTGAATTGAATTGAACATAGAGGCCATTGATTCAAAATAGGATCAGCTAATATAAAAATAATTACAGCCTGCTAGTTTGGAGCAGGGCCGGTTCATGCAATGATGTGCATTTAAATTCAAGTGCCATTAATCTATTATACCGTTGAATCGGTGACTATAGCAGTAACTGTCTGATCATAAGAGGGGAAACGACTGCGCTAAATAATGATGGTGTTTCCAACAGAACACTTCAATGAAAAGTAAAGCACGAGGGGGAAAAATCGATGTCGGTTTGGCCTCGGTGTGGGAAGAGATGAGAAAAATGTAAGGTTTGTATGTGCCTGGTGCCCCATAATGAGTGGAGGTAATGCAACACTTGTTGTCTTAGTTGAAATAGGAAGCTGACAAAGGATTCATTCTTGTGTTTCTGTCCCTTTCCTGGGTGGAGGTGCGGGTTCGAGTGCGGGGCTGGTTTGTGGTAGGAGTGGGGGAATTGGTTCATCTCGCTGTCAGCAGGGAAATGCAATCCCTGTCAGGATGTCCGCAAGGCCAGGAGCTCGCGAAAACCTCCGCAGACAGTTTTTTAAAATCTGTATTTGAATCGAAGTTAAATGCTCTTGAGCTGCCGTTAAATTGTTCACAACGCTTTGAGTGTGATGTGGGAAGGCAAAGGGGAGAAAACATGTCAATATGCTCTGTATATATTAGAAAATGTGTGCAATATTGTGCATGCATTACACAGTACATATGTGAGTACGTACATTCATTGTGGATATGAATGTGTGCATTTTTGTTTGTTACTATGTACTTGTGTGTGCAGGGCATAAATGTGAGAGAAAATATATTTGTGTTTGTAGACAAGAGTATGCATATAGGAGTAGAAGTGTTGGCAGGTATAGTATAATGTGTGTGAGAGAGAGAGAGATTCGCAGGCCAGCGTATACTAGACTATATGGAAAGGTGGAATTATCTGTACCGGAAAGATATCTAAATATTTAAGTAAAAATAGTTCGACCGATTAGAAATCCGTAAAAGTCGAAAGAACTGGATAAACGTTAATTCAATTTTGCACGTTCCCCCTGCGTGTTCTGCGAGATTAACAAATAGGGATCCAGCGAGAAAATAGAGGCCTCAGCCGCTTGTAGTTCTGGAAACAAAATCACAGTGCAATCTAGAATGGATTTTTGTCGATTGTGATGAGGTGGAAACAAGAACAGAACTTGTTGGTCCAGCCTAGAATGTTGTCTGACTGCTTCAAACGTATAAATATTGTGCAGAAAGTGGCCTCTTTTTTTTGACAAGGGAACTAAGAAATATGTGGGGCCTAGTTCTCAATGAGGGATAAATTGAAACTGAACAAGAGACAGGTTGCACAGGTTTGTATTCTTTGTGTTAAGAGATGAGTGTGCGCACTGGACCGTGTCAGCGTGCCTCCGAACGCCTCTTGTGTTAGTATGCAATGTGTATTTTAGGTGTTTGCATATATATATATATACCTCCATGTTTATGTGTGTTTATACATGTGTTTAAGACATAATACTTCAGACATAGATTCTAGTACTTTAGAATGCTTATTGATTAAACTTTGGCCATATAACAATTAATAGGACCGATTTCAATTTAGAACGCCAGGGGGAAATGACAATATGGTTACATTAAGATCAATACAGCGAATCGTCAAACCCAGTCTAAAACTCTGCAGATTGTTAACTTCCAGTTACAATGCAAATAATGTTAAGAGCAATGCGAATTGCAGTGTGGCTGATGCAGGATTCAGATTACTGACCTGGGGATTGATCTACCCTGTAGCCCGGACATAAATGCACTCAAGTTGCTTTTATTCGAATGACTTGCTCGATCATCTGATGCAGGATCTACTTCTTACATCTGCATCCTGTTACTGGGGGCCATTGCAGCAGAAACTGATTTTGTTTTATTTTAATAATTTGAAAGGCATATGCTGAATAGAATTTGGAGGATTTCACTGGCAAGATGGCTGATCGGGGATTTAGATAGAGGGAAAGGGTTCTTTGACATAGTGGAGAGCCCCGGAACTGTCACGTTTTAATCTTCCCTGACCCATACACACGCGCATGGACATACAAACGGATACATGCATTTAAATACATACATGCACACATTTACAAATACACTTACATACAAATACCTACGCATGTGCATGTACGAACACATACACCCATTCATAAACACGCACACATACATACAGATACAAATATGTACATACAATCGGACGTACATATGTCGAAACTCAAATATATATGCAAATACACATACACATACAGATAAGCACACCCGCACATACAAAAGCTTACATATAAACACACGTGTATAATACTTCAGACATAACTTCTAGTACTTTAGAATGCTCATTGATTAAATGTTGGCCATTTGATAAATAATAGGATTGATCTCAGTTTAGACACGCCAGGAGGAAATGACAATATGGTTACATTAATTTCAATACAGTGAATCGTCAAACCCAGTGTAAAACTCTTCAGATTGTTAACTTGCTTTTGTATATTTATCTGTATGCATGCACGTGCTTAAAATATTAAATGCAGTTTGTGTGCGTGCATTTGTGTGTTTATCTGTATGCATGCATGTGCATGTGTATATGCCTGGTAGTATTTACTAAATGCAGTTGTGTGGGGTTCGAGCTAACTAAAACACGACTGATCTGCTACAATATCAATCGGAGACTCGGATTTACCACGTCCCAGTGGCCAGCCTGTGTGGAACAGGGTAGGGGACCCAGAGGTCGAAACTACATCTCAACCCTACTCAGTGTCTGCCTGACCTCCGGCTGTGACATAGCATATTTGCTCTAGTCACTGAACTAGATTGGATTAACCCCTTCCGTGCTCCCCCACATTCACTTCCCGACACGGCTGAGACCCATCCCTTTAAAAATCAACGTTTTGAAAGTTAAGGCAACCACCGCACCATAGAAGGCTCAGAGTAATCCAATCAAGAATGAAACGCGACCGGGGACAGAGGGGAAGCCGAGCGGATGCAATGGTAAATTACAGTGGTAGATTTGATAAAATATTCGCAGTCCTCATTTGAACCGCAGAGCTCACCCCGTTTAAATCCAAACCTGTTAGCTGAAAATAATCGGCGTTTCGATCTGATTTCATCCAGAAATTCATTTCACCAGAGGATTGTGCCGCCGATTCCTGACGCACGATAGCTAATGTGGGGAAAGATGAAGCGCCGAAGTGGAATCGACTTCCTGCACTAATACACAGACATGCCGAGCGAGTGAGGGAGTGGGGCAGAGAGAGGAAACAAGGGCTCTTAAACAAAAACCCCGTCAGCAGTGTTCCTGGGCTTTGTAAATACGACACGGGATGTTGGCTGGCATCAGAAAATATCCGCAATCTTTATGTTGGTTGTACATTTAACACAAAAGGCTGTTCTCACTTCGCGGGGCGGTGATATGTTGTATTGGAATATTTGAAACAGTCCCAATATTTCGAATTTGTGAGTGTGGGTTTGCGCTGAGTAAGTGCAGTTAGAAGAGCTCAGGTTGGGCTGATCAAGGGGCGGCTTCCCAAACATAACGTACTACATAACTTATTTAATCTTTTTTTCTAAGTGACATAACCTCTCGAGTTCCCTCTGGGTTTAAAGGCTGCATTGATGTTAACATCATAAACGCATGATCAATAGCATTGACTGTTGCAACACTTTTAAATGAAACAAATTGAAGGTGTTAAGCTCCGGGCCATGCTTGGCAGAAAAAGCAAAGAATGATCAGTTCATCTTTGTGATGTCCACGGCTCAATTCTGCTCTGCAGCCACATTGCAAGGAAATAGATATAAACTCTGACCACACGTGTGGTTTATATTTTGTGAACCTATTCTCTGTCGTAGTGTCTGTCCAAACTGGGCTTTAAACTAGGGCAGCAAGATTCGATATTCCCTCGGGTCAAGTACACGTTTTCTAAATGAAGCTGATCATGTTTGGAGATTAATAATTTGAGTGAATCTTGATGACGCTCTTACTAACTGGAGTGACCATGTGTAATGCATCTGAGTGCATTATTTACATGTAATTCCACAAAATAGACAGGGTCAGAACCATGCATAAAATACCGAATAAATATCGAAGACTTGGAAAGATTTTAACGAACTAATTAGGCGGGGGTGGAGGACTGATATCAAGGAAAGGAAGGTAGAAATTGCAGTGTAGCTGAGCTACACTTTTACGAGCAGTTAAAATCGCTGACATTTATCTTCAGTTAACCAGCCCAGGTGGCAATTTTCTCTCTGTGTTTTAGCGGAAGCGTCCCTAGCTTCTCACACTGCACTGGAAAACATTCTAGATGGTGAAGTCATGCTTTACAGTATTCGAGTTTGAAATCAGATGTAGTTGTCCGTTGGATTTCCCTGAGCCCATCCTCCAGGTGGTCCCATTTAAAACAATGGATCAAAGCCAGACACGACACGTGGTACCCAAGGATGGCCGGAGAACTATTCAACACATAATTTCAACACAACAGGCCCGGGTTTATTTTTGATAGTTCCGCCAAATGAAATATGTCGGGACAATAGAGGAAAGTTTTGATGAAAATCCAGCCGAACAGAAAAGGGATTTTTTTTTTCCATGCTTTCCGCTGTGCGTTAAGTTGCAACATAACTGAGGATGGGGCCGATGGGGAGAAATATGACAGCTGATCTGTTCAGCTTTTTACAACCTTCCGGACAGATACATTTTTGAAGGAGACTTGCCAAATTACCAGTCTCTGCAATTGCAATTTTCGACTTGTAGTTTAGAATCCCCAAAATTAGGTTCACTAGGTGATAAAAAAAATCACAAACTGTCTTCAGCTGACACAAGTAAGGCGGCGTTAATGAAACTATTAATTATTTTATCGAGAACGCTCCGAATTTACTGCATTACGCTTACTTTGCTAGCATTCCGAATCGAGGAGAATTGGAAACGGGGTTTAAAAAGATTAAAAGCTCATGAAAACACACACATTTCCTTGTCAAACTCGGCTGCTTAAAGGTTCCTTGTAGTTCTAATGATAAAGAAATTGCTGTTCAGCAGCGGCAGGGAATGCGGGTTATATTTAATGTGATGTGTACTTGCTGCTCGAGCGGCTATGAATGTTTCGGGTGGGGGTGGGGATGGTGTGTGTGTGGAGAGGGAGTGGGGGGAGCGGAATATCAGCTTTTCTTACATCACATGTAGAAAGTATCCAATCAGCTTGGAGTTGAGGGGAATGGTTTGGTGGAGTGGTTTGTGGACAAGTGCTAATACAGTGAAGTTTTCTTCAGGAAGGAAGGAAGGAAGCAGGGGTGCAGTTGGCAGGTTCATCCTAAAGAGCTCATTGAACCTCTGTGCGTGTGTGTTTCTAATAGCCGTTTACCAAAATGCTGCCGTGAAAAGCGGACACATCTTGCTCATTTCAATCGTCACACCTCTTAATTGGACCAATTAATTTCGCCCAAAAAAGTGATTAATGGCAGAACAACCCCTTTGCTTTTTTGCATGGCGAACACAATGGTTGGGATTATCCCGGGATGTGTGGATTATATCCCCAACGTTGCACTGGAAGGATTTCAGTCGGGTCACCTGGAAATGGATGGGGTTAGACTGGGTTACCTGCGCATTAACGGGAAGCAGATGTTCGCGCTGTCGCAGGTTCTGGCGGATCTGTTCAAGGACGTCCCGAGGACCACGATCCGCAAGAGGATGGAGTACCTGAAGATTAAACGGCGTCGGTGCGACTTGAGGGAGCTGCGGACTCTGAAAGCCATGAACTCGGTGCCGACACGAGCGGTCAAGTGCTCGCTCATTTCCAAAGAGGATCTGGAAGTTTTATACACAGTCTACAAAACGCCAGACGCCAGCAAGAAGAAGATCAAGGTAAAGGTGAGGACTGGGGGACAGCTAAGCAGCTCGGAGGGACACGGTTTCTACACCGGGCTCTGTACCGAGAGGGCTGTGCTGCTGCGGACACGGGAACCGACAGACAGCGCCCAGGCCAGATACCAGACTCCGAGCGATTTCACCAAAACCCCTGGCCGACCTGAGCCTCTCGATTACCTCCCGGCCACCGATCCGGCTGGCAAAGATTTCCTAGAGTATGGAAACACGGGGAAAGCCGATTTGTGCCCGGTGTACCGGGAGCAGGAGGTGTTTTACGAGGACCTGGTCTGCTGCTTCCCCAGAGCGGAGCAACCCTCCATCGCAGTTCGAGTTGACGGGGCCAAGCAGCCGCTTCACTTCACAGCGAAATATTCGTGCTGTAACCGGAGCAAAATCGTGAGGAGCGGGTTTCTCAGTAACTGCAATTCATTGCTCAACCCTTCAGCTTTCCAGTCGGTGAAATCCATGTTCCTCTCTGGAGATATAAAGACTTTAAATGAAAGGGGGTTTGCACCGAGCAGTCAAGTCGCCTCTTTGGGATATTCCAGTGATTCGGACTGTAGCCTGGAGCCGGGCAATTTTTCTGATTTCGGTTCCACGGATGAAGACGAGGAAGACGGAGATTCGGCGTTTTCCGCCTCCAGCAGCGATGATGAGAGTTCCAGTGCCTCCGACTCCAGTTCGGCTCACAGCGGCGTCTCTCTGCACAGTACCCGCTTCAGGAGAGCCACCTTACCTAGCGTGTGTGCTAAGATTCCGGCCATAAACCCCAGCCCCGAGCCGCCCGTGGACAACTCCCAGCCGCGGCCGTTGTTCCTGCAGGTAGCCTCGAACTCTCCCCATCATCGCGCCCAGTCCAAGGGGAGCCCGGGCACCGGGCCAAAAAGGAGCTCCGCAGCCAGGGAGAGAGAGCCAGGAGTGGGGGCCAACCCAAAGGTTCCATCTCAACTGTTCCCCAGCAACTTTGCAAAACCCGGAGCCTCTGGGACCGGCCTGAAAGAGAGCTCGCTGACTTCACAACAAAGGGATACGTTACAATGGAGAGCACGGCCCGGAGGCTCTGCTCGTTTCTGCTTCGGTACAGACGCTGGGAAATTCGACAGTCCGGACAAAGCGGCTCCGTTAGGCCCCGGAGCCCATTCCGAGAGCAGGGTTAACCACAGGGTCGGTGGCTCGGGCTTTTTCACGGAGCGCTCCGCAGTCTCCAGCCGCCCTCTGCGAGCGAGTGTCCACAGTACCGGCTTCAGCACCGCGGGCTCCGGGCCGGGGAGAGGGAGAGAGGGGCCAGGGCGGCGGAGCAGACCGAAAGCAAACGTGGGGGTTGACTGGGAGGAGGAAAGTGGAGTGATACAATCAGTGAGCGAGTTTCCTGGGCCTGTCCATCCGCTACAGGATCCTACCTCGACAGGAATACAAAACCACTGCACTTTAGCGAACGGGCCGCCTGCTGCTGCCTGGGGGGACACTGCCAAAAAGAGACGGATCTCTTCCTGCCGCCGCGGTCGGTCCAAACGCTGCCCGGGGAGGGCCCCAGACACGATGCAGCCCTGGCTCACAGCGCCTGGGAAAAGGCCGAATCTACTGAAGGACCCTGCCAAATGCAGACGCGTCAGCTGCGGATTAGTAACGCCAGTTAAGAAAGCTTTCAGCTTAATGGGCAATTTCCCCACGCCGCCTTCGCTGATTGTAGGCGACGATGGAGACCTGTGCCCGGCCTATTCCTTCAGCTCCGAGCCCTCTGGCACAGTGCAGAAAGCTCACCCTCTGTGGGCCTGGCAAATCGGCCGCTCAGCAATTCCCCTTCCCCCCAGCCTTAAATTCAGGGGCTTCAGCCTTTAGGGGCCAGTGACTGATTGTGGACGTGAAATTGCCCCCTTTTTTTGCAAAAAAAAGTGTTGTAACGCCATCCACAGGCTGTTGCAAACACCCCGATCAGAAAATGCAGTTTATATCAAGGATTGAAAGGCTATTTTGATTAAAATGAATACGGCAGTGCGGCAATTTTTAACCAAAAAGTGGTCATGATTAATCAGCTACATGTAGGGAGATGTATGTGTCTTTGAGGATCGGTGTGTTCAACAGAGAAATGGGGAAGGAGTCAGATCTGGTCCCAGTACGAGCCTGGATGTAGCTTTGCACTAGTTTCTGTCTCTTGTGCAATCGACCTATCAAAGCATTGGGAGTGACATTTACTGGACGAACATCCTCTCAATTGAGAGCAATTTCAAATATATCAGGACGATTTAAAAGAAAAACACTTTCCAAGTAGCCTCTCACAGTCATCAGAGTACATTGTGTTGTCGGGAAGGGGAGAATGAGAAGATTATTATGCGCCTCCCAATCCCCACCTCACCCACCCTCTTCCCTCCAGCTGGGTCTAGAGTACCGGGATTAAAAAAAAAATCCCGACACAGTGATCTGTTGTGCTCACCTCAGTTCTTTCTTTGTTCCTTCAGGAAGCTTCAATTAAAAGTAATCAAAAATACTGGTGACAGGACAAGGGAGTAACAGCTGTCATCTTTTATAATGGACGGGGAGCTCTCTCTGGAAATGAATTGCAGTGCAGTTGGTTCTTTTAAAGGTTTGATTTCAGTCGTTTTGATAAACTATTGTCAAATTTAATTTAAAACACATTTGAACTGAAGTCTCAGTGAAAGCGGAGAGGGGGAAGCGTGGTTGGGGTGGGGGTGGTGGTGCGAAGGATACCTTTACTTGACTCTGTATACGGGCCAGTGAGTAAATATCCTGGGCTCTGTGTGTTGCTTCTGTCCCCTGCTTAATAATCGGATGTATAATTTGCAGGGGAAACACAGTAACCTTCCCTTTAGATGCAAATCAGTTGAACTCTGAAGGAAAAGAGGTTAATGCACCGAGGCATGCATTACTGATCAAACCCCACGTAAAGTTCCAGTCAATAGTTCCCCATTCAGGAAGGGAAAAAAAGACTGATCTTTGAGTTGAAATGCAATTGTAATTCCTTTTTTAAGAGAAAAAAAATTAAAGTTTATTCCTCAGTTGTTGTAAGTTTTATTTATTTAGAATTTGATAAAGATTCCTTTCAAGAACGCAAAAAAGTTTAGCAACTTTTTTTAATCCCTGCTCTTTGTGATGTTGACAGTTTACAGTGAGTGAGTGAAGTTACGGGGGAGGGTATTCCTGCTTAATGTCTTCTCATCAGTAAGAGTTTAAATTATGCTTGTTTCTTGCGGAAAAAAACAATCAGGGGAAAAACGTGGCGAGGATGTTGTACTTTCAAAAGGATTATTGACACTGTGATTCGATTCACAATAATGGCACGGGGTTGGGAGGGGGGGGCGTTCAAACGCCAGGTTTGAATTAATGCAATGAAAAACGTGTTTGGAACAAACAGATGTGAGGAGAGTGGGGATTTTTTTTCTCTCTCTCTCTGGGAGGGGGAGGTTGATCTCCTGTGCTGACATTTTAAATCTGTTCTGCTGTCCCCATCCCCCACTCCCGCGACCACCATCCAGCATTCTGGAGAGAGAAAAAAAGAGAAGCGGACAATTGCATTTTCGGCCAAGATGGTGGTCGTTTGTTTACATAGGCAGAGCCTGGCCGGGGGAGAAGTGATGGGTATACGCTGCAACTTACTCTCAAATTTAGCAGTCAGAGGAACTGCATCGTGTCATGGGAACCGTGCAGGCTGAATGTTCCAATGCCTTTTCTTTTACTGCGCCGGGAGTTGGATGATAGATTAGGCTGAACTGGGGAAGTGAAGAGAGAGAGAGAGACATAGCGAGGGACAAAATTCAGGGAGATGGAGAGAGACTGTTGATCCTGTTCTGGGTGAAGCGGTGAAAGGATGACGGGGTGGATTCGCTGACTGATTGTTTTCAGGAGCTTGGACCCGATTTCAGGATTAAACTGACAACAGTGAGGGAGTTGGGGGGGCGGGGGTGGTGAATAGATATTAATATAACATGCACACAACGTGTACCGTCAATACCGCCCCCACCCCGTGCTAACCTCGCCGCGGCAGTAGGACATAGCTGAACCTTTTCCAACATCAAAGTCCGGGTGGCTAAAAAAGAGCCACTTCCAAGGGAAATTGTACCGGAACTCGAGACACCCAACCACACAGGCTGAGGATCGGGCTCGCCGCCACTGCCAACTGTCCTTTCTACAATACGGTGCCTTCTACTCGGAGGTAATATCGCCCCCCACCCCTCCACACACCCCCACCAACACCACCACCACTTGCAAAACAAAAGCACACATTATTCCATGGTCTATGTACATCGTTGATGTGCGAGGCGGTGGGCCTTACTGATTACCGAGACCCACTTTTAAAAAGCACCAGAAATAGCTCGGCTGACCGCTATTAGAAACCACACGTCAGCAAAATTGGCAATGCTCATTCAAATAGCAGCCTTAGTCTGACACCCAGCCGACTGAACGCCCCGGTGATCCACGCCGCTCTTTACTATAATTATGTTTGCATTCAACAGTTTGAGGAATTGTCTCGATGGTATCTGCCACGCCGTTTAAAATCCTGGGATTGGATTTGGAAAATGTAACGTGAAATAATCACAAATGAAGCATGAATTAGCAAAAAGCAAAACCACTGAGGTCCTTATATTTCAAAGAAACTACTACATTTCACCCTGTGTTATAATGTAGCCATGTATGTGATAGATAGATAGATAGATAGATAGATAGATAGATAGATAGATAGATAGATAGATAGATAGATAGA